TTTTCCCGGAAACCTTGACAAAAGCCCCTCCCCTTTTAGGTGGAAAAAGAGAAAGAAAGAATTTTTTTTTTTTTTTTTTTTTGTCAGGTGGAAGAGTTATGCATATTGCATGTACCGTCAGCAGGTAGACACCCTCCAGCACTCCTCCACTCACAATGAAGGAAAAGTTAAGAAGAGAAAAAGGAAAGGTAACAATATGGGAAACGAGTTGCAAAATATTATGATGCATAAATTGTGTAACACTTACGATCAAGTCCATTGATGTATGTCATGGTAATTTCACAGTGCCCCCAAACCGCACTGACTATAGGGTAAACTTTTTTCCCTTTCAGTCCCCTGAAGGCCACTCCAAGATACTGTCCATCCACCATGAAGCTAAGTGTCCCTTCATCCATATCCAAAACCACTAGTAAGGTGTCTGGGAGTACAAAAGGCTCATCCGGTTCCAAAAAGACAGGATATGTCACCCCAGGTTGGTTTTTACAATTGTGATAAAGTTTGTTCCGTCCCAGATCCCAGCCCCAGGATTCACTATTGCTACCAACCAATGACGTGTATCCTACTGAATGCAACGGAGCTTCTGCTGTTGACACACCCACCACAGCATGTGTTCCTCGTTGCCTTGTGGGCCAGTGAATTTGCCAGACATGTAGACCTCTGGTGTAGCCAACTTTGCCCCGGATACAATCTGTGCTTTGGGCAACTGGATGTCTATGAAAAGTGAGTTTGTCATCTTCCTTTACAAATATATTTAAAGAGCGATCTTCATTATTCCAAGCATGCTTATACTGCACCTCCAGTTTGGCAGGGGGCATATCCAGTAGCATGTCCAGACGTGCAGGCTTGCAAAAGTCAGGGCCCCTCAACTCTCGTTTAACAGGTCTGTAAGGGGGCTCCCTCACATCCACAGACTTTATGCTCCCTGATATTTTCTGGCCCATTGCTTGGCTGCAGATTCACAAAGGAGAAAGAAAAGGTGACTTTGGCCCAATGTTACCTCATGAAAGCACTTTCACACTGAGTCAATGACTTGACAACCAGATGGGATTTACTTCTCCTGTTTGCAGCTTTTGAGCAGCAGTGTTTTCAGAAGAGAATCACACTCCTGAAAGAAAGCAGAGAGTTTCCAGTTAAAGTAAGAAAGCCAGTTGAAACCCACAAATCGTCTCAAAGTTTGATCCCTGCTAGGTTATTTTAGACACTGAGCACTGACAAGTCTCTGCTTTTTATTCTGTGTCCTAAGAGTCCTATCCAGACAGCTGGCAGGATATTCAGAGCCCACCAACATTCAGAGTACAGACAGTAATTTCCTCCCATTCATAATAGGATGCAGACGTCCTCCACCTTCTGCCCTTCCACCCATTTAGTCTAGCCAGGCTACAGTGTCTTGAAAGAGGCACACACTATTCCTCAGCAATAAATATTAATTTTACATATTCAGCAGTATATCCACTTATCTTTTGGTTTCATTTTCTCATATTTTGTCAGAGCCCCTTTCTCTATGCATTCCTCTCTGCATATGCCCTTTTAATTTAAGGCTTTGTCTTGGAACAGATGGAATGCAACCAGAACAAACGGCACTGATAGCGAACAGCTTTGAAATTTGATTGCTTACCTTCAAGGCACTTGTGCTCACTTTATTTATTGGACAACTGACAAGCTTTAGATTCACTAAGGAGTTTGTTGGGAGCGGGGGGACAGAGAGACAGGGAAGCAATGATGGAACAAGAATGGAAGCATATGGATGCAGAATAGGTGTTCTCCAATCTACTGGAACTTAAGCACTGTAGTTTCAGTTCTTTGGTAGAGCTCACTACTGGGGATACCTGGCTCAGAACACAAGCCCCTAATGCTGCAGCAGTTTTTAAAATCCAAACAAAAGAAAGATCAGTACTAAAAAAGACACATGCCTAGATTTCAGTTTGGAGAATGCTGTCTCAATACACACACAGAGCATCTCAAACTGAAAGAGCGTGAAAACCTCCAGGACCAGTTATGACTTAGATTTAGTGACCCTTTCCAAAGGCCTATAGGAAGCATTCATTCTGAACAAGATGCCTGGCAAATCACACACATTCATCTTGCAAGCACTTAGAGTGCAAAGCAAGATACAAGTGTTAGTCCCCATGGACTTAGGGGGTGACTGATGTGGGATCAAGTGACGAGTCTGCTGCAAATGCTGGCTCCCAGCAACTGCCTGGATCAAGGCTTCAGATTTCTGTTTCACCCACAGCAGAGAAGCCAAGTCAACTACTAACGTAGCAGTAGGAATGCTGCTAGCTGGGGGGATTCCAGACTGTTCGTTCGGTGACAAATGTTTCCAAATGTTTAGGAAAAAAGAACTGATATGCTGCCAGTTTTTTGTAAGATCGGAAGAGTGCAAGTGACACTATACAGTATAGTCATTTTATAAAGACTGAAAAGTCATCTTTAAAATGGATCAGAGGGGAATGCATCTATGTACTTGCCTGTGCTCACATGAGCCTGTAAAGGTTATGTTGGAATCTTAGTTTTATAAGTAGGTAATAGCAAAGCTGAAAAGTTTGCTTAATGAGTACCCACAGAGTTAGTCTAACAGTTTGTTGAGAAGTTGCTCACAGTATTCTATATAGACACTTTTAACACCATTATAACAGTTTGCCTGTACTAAACATTTGCTTTCTAAACAACTGAAACCATGTATTCCTAAAACTGCCTAGGTACTATTAACACTTACTTACAAGGGTTTTCACATGCATTACTCCTGCGGTCTCACTCTGAAAAGCTTTCTGAAAAGACAAAGCTCTCCACTATGCCTCAGCAGCACGAAGCTGAGGTGCTGGAGAAAGTTGGGCTGTGCAAAACGGCTGTGTTTCGTTTTTGGTTTTAAATTCAGCCGTTTCAGAGGACAGTGATTTGTTTCGGTGTTTTGGATCACTGTTCCGTTTTGATTTGGCCAAGTCAGTTTTGGAGTTTGGACGCTGTTTTGGAGATTCGGATCGGCCAGGATGAGGCAGGCACAGTCAAGAGGCTGCAGGTTCTCCCGCAGCTACTCTAGCTGTGCCTGCCTCTGCCCCAGCTGGGAGGAGCCATGGGAGAAGCCCCCATGGTTGCCTGCCTGGCCCCATCCCCTGCCCAGCCCCAGCCTTCCAGCACTTTAAAAGGAGGGCTGTGGGGCTGTGCTGGACTATTCCCGGGGGCGCCTCTGAAACATCCCGAAATATCCGAAACATTTCCAAAACGTTTTGGATGGTTTCGTTTTATTTTGGTGCCTTCCGTTTCATTTCGGATGCGGTTCACTTTGCCTTTGGTTCACTTCACCTTCAATTCACTCCAAAACAGCTGCCGAAATTTCACACAGCCTTATTGTATAGTACATTACCTCAGTGCCTAACAGCTGAAGATAAAGACCTAGTCCATTATAGTAGCACTACCTTTCCTATTACATACAAAACACAGCATATGGATTATGTAGAAAGACGAAGTACCAAGAACTCAATTATTCAAGAACTGTTTAACTAGCAATGGTTGAATCAATTCTATTCTCCCACCCCCCACAACCTACACACCTAGAATAACTGGAATTCACGAGTGGTTAGTTAGATATGGGAATTCCAAGAGTGTCCAGTAGTCTATTTTATTTTTTGACAATACTGCCAAAGTTTTACATTTTCATTTATCAGCATATCACAGTATGATGTAACAGGAATTTGAATAGCCTTTCACATAAGGATATATGAAATAACATTATTGTATAAGACTAAGAAAAATAGGAGAGCGGTGATAATCGAGCATATCAAGATGTTGCTGATAGTTCCAAATTTAAGACAGGGTATGCAGACGGCAAGTATGTGGTGACAGAATGATGCTACTCCAGAGACAGAAATTAGCTAGGGAAACCAACCATGATAGCCTGATAGGCTTTCTAAGTTCAGACAGACCATGACTGACTGACTTAGAAATTAAAATTCCTGACTCATATTTTTGTCTATGCATTGTGCCCTTCACACCAAGGAGTTTAAATGCTTTTCAGACTACAGTATTGAAAGAATGATGTCGTAGCCACGATTGTCAGACTGCACAGAGGTCCCTGGCCGATGTGCAGGTAAAGGAGACATGGGATCTGATGCATGATCCCCACAACTGTGCTTCCCACCATACCCTGCCATGCATGGCAGGAAGTGAGATCGTGGCATCAAGCATCAGATCCCATCACACCTAATTGCTGGTGCAGGGAGAGCCCAGGCTTCTCCTGTATGAGCAAGTAGTAAGCTCCTGTGGCTAGGAGCCCTGGCCTGGCCACACATTCAATTAAGGATGCAATAGGAATCAGCCACAAAGTTATTACACAGTTTGTGTAATAACTGTCGTTTATTCCTTGTTCTATCACATCATTAACTGATTGAATGTGTGGCCAGGTATCAAATTTGAGACACGATTAACTGGTTAATCATGTCTTAAGCGTAATATGTGCCAGGGGTCATACAGAACAAATGCTGAAGAGCAGTTGCTATTAGGATGCAACTCCCAACTGCTGTTCTTAAAACAGCACTTTCTTAAAGAAGTGCATTCTATGACCAGCTGAAACTGTTACACTTTTTTGACAAAAATTTAAGTGTCTCCATAGACACACACAATTAAATAGTTATTTTTATGAAAAAGCAGCAGATGTCTTCCAAAGCCACGAGTGAGGTGGGGTTAGGCTGTTCTGCATTACAAAAGCTTTCCTGTGTTCATACACGAGCTGAAGAACAACATACTTAGAACAGAGCCACTCAACCTCTTGGCTTCACAGGCTAAGCGAGTGGTGTGAAGCTAGTTCACAGAGTGAATCGGGGCCTCTGCCCAGCCCCGCATACTGAAATCAGGGCTCCACGCCACCCTGCTTGGACCCATCTAGTCCACAGGCCCGTGACTGACAGGGCTCCGAATGGACCCGTGAAGAGCCCTGTGAGGGAGAGAAAGGGCCAGCAGGCTCCTTGGCTCCCAGCCTGAGTGGAGGGCCCATGGCCCTAGGCCCACAACCCCAGGGAGACAGGTGGAAATTCCCCTTACCCAGGTGTGGGGGAAAGGGAAGGGCCGGTACTTCTGTTGCCGGTATAAAAGAGAGGCCGGGGCCGACAAGCGGAAGCAATGCGGAACCGGAAGGAGGACGGGGAGGTGATGGAGCAGGCCGGCGGACATTGCAGAGGAAGTGAGCGGCGCCGAGTGCCAGTAGAAACCCCTGGAGAAGGGCTAAGCCCCTGCAGAGTCGGTGAGCCTAGTCTGAGGCCCTTGTGGGGCATAGGACTGTTTTGTTTACCAGCCAGGAGCGGGTGAAACCCGGCAGGAGCAGGGTACCATAAAGACCCTGATAGAAGGGCACTAATTGACTGTGGATACCGTAGCTCCTGTGATGTGGGCGCAGTAGCCACAGTGAGCCTCAACTGAAAAAGGGGAATTACCCAAGCCCCAGGAGGGACTCTTCGAGAGCCAAAAAGGGGGTTCGATCCCACAGAGGACGAGTGGGCCTTGGAGGACGACTGCAGAAGGCTGACCCAGCCGCTCCGTCCAAGGGAGCCCCTTTTGACTGCTTGTGTTGATTGTCATATTGCTTTTGTGGATTATTTGTGGGACCTACGGATACGTGGCCGGACCAGATAGGCAGTCACCACCCAGTGGAACAGGTGAGGGTGTAGGGGTGGTGGAGCCCTCAGAGACGCAGGACCCGCAGAACGCCGGAGAGTCTCATAATTGGACGACACGCGCTGGACACTGGAACCAACTCCATTAACATCAAAGTCGTGGCAGGCGAGGCAGACACATGTGACACGCCCAACCAAAGGTGAGCAGACCCTTGGCTACCGGTAAGTGGCCCCGACGCGGGGAGAGTGTACAGTTATACCCCGACAAGCCCCACCAGCTGAATTAAATGGTAGCAGGGACTGGATCTAGGCATCTCCTGCCCCACAATTTAAAAGATATTATACTGACCAGAACTTTGGTTGCATTAGGCCAGGACAGTTGTGGTTCAGCATCACGTCTACTAAATCAGCAAACTGAACACAATTAGTCCTGATTATATGGCAATTTCATACCACCCAATTTAATCCTTCACAAGTATGTTAAATTTTAGAGTATAATTTAAAGTTTAAGATTGCCCCAAGATTTCAATTTGAATGCCATCTCCTGGTACACTAACAACTTAGTTTAAAAGCTTACTCAGCATCTTAAGTCGGAGGCTAGTATGAGAGAAAAGTCCTTTAAGCAGGAAGCAGAAACGAATAAAACGAACTCTCACCTTTATTCCAACATCCTGATCAATGCTTAGCTTTACTTAATTCTCAAGTTCTTGCTTTGGGAATAGCACTGGCATCTCACTTGGGAGTGTGCATGCCTTGTCAAGGATGACCAGATATCACTTCCTACCACACAAGTGTTCCCTGTTGTGCTGCCAGTCATCTGCAATTTTCTATATTTACTGAAAAAAAAATAAAATAGGCTGTCCCCCAAATCTGTTACAATTTGCAGTCAATGACAATAATCCAGAAAAAGCCTAATTTATTCTTGCTTGGTCCTCAGCACACATCAGTGAATATAATAAAAAGGAATTCCAGCTGTAAAATGTCAACTCCATTGCTCAAGCTTACTCACTACACAAAATAAAACCTGAAAAACAACCATAAAGATTTGTGGTTGTAACTGTAACAATACTGTAACTATTGACATATAAAACCATAAAAAAAGGAGTTGGGTAAATAAAAAGCTGCTTATCCAAAGAAGATGCCAAATTCCACCCTTACATAGATACATTCTGCCTTCCATGTGAATTGGATCTGGAATAATGAAGTGTTTACTTTATACGTCAAAATGTACTAGTGGGCTTTGGGGAGTGAACAA